GAAAAAGTCTAACGTACTGATTTCGCGCATAAAAATCTGGCAACTCTAAGAACAGTCATATTTTAGCCTCGGTTCATTTTGTGGTGTGGTAACAAAACTTGGCGTCCAAATGACTTCAATAGTTTATATTCTAAATTTTTTTTTTTGATGAACATACTACTTTATCTGTCGTTGGGTGTAGATTCATATATATGTATATGTATGTATATTCAAAAAAATATTTGTAATTATCACGAAATCTAGGAAAAGGAATATATGTCTAATTCTAAAGAGTAAATTAAAAGTAGTCGGAAAAATTATAGCCGCACCATATTTTGAAAAGTTGTAAAATTTTTTCTTTTTGTTATTTAATTTTGGTTTTTTTATAAGAATACAGTTCATTTAGAATTCATTGCGCTGTAAAACTTCATATTCAAAATCTCTCTAAGAAATCTAATTAAGTTAAAGTTTGTTGATTTTTTTTGAAATATTGCGCAATGTTTAGAACTTGGATTTACACGGATTTTACTAAATAATGAACTGTATTTTTTCAAAATAGTAATCAAAATTAAATAACAAAAAAATTATATGTTATAGTTGATATTTATGATATAATTTTTTCGACAACTGTTTATGTATTGTATGTTTATGTATTTACTATGTACATATGTATATTTATTTCCACATACCTTTTGGATGGGTGCAACGCATCACCAACAACATGCTGCCCACCTCCGACGTCGAATGCATAAACACACAAACGACAAATATTAAAATGAAGAATACGAAATTCTTGCAATTACTATCACAGTATCCATTAACCGCTTGGTACGGTTCAGGGTTCCCTAAAGCTGCAAAATAGATAAACACGCGCACGCAACAGAAAGTTGGTGAGGGGGGGCGGAGAGATAAGAGAAGAGAAGAAAAATGGGGTAGGTTATGTGACAGTGACTCGAGGAAATGGGTAAAAAATTGTTCATATGAAAAAATAAATAAAATGCAAAAGTTAATGAAGTACATACATGAAAAGCATTTAAAAGTATGAAATTAATGTAAATAAATTTATGTATGTACAAATATAGATATATATGTGCATATTTATGTATATCGTCATCATCAATGGATATATAATGTATGTACATATATGAAAGATTTCAGATTTTACATTAGAAACAAAAAACTTTTAAATATACATAATTATATAGTTTTTTTTTTAAAGGTTTTAAAGATGCCAATATATTTTGCGTTTTTTATTTAATACATACATATGCATGGATTTGAATTTCGTTATGTTTGCAGGAGTCCATAAAAAGAATTACCTACATCGTAACCAGTTTTGCAACCTGTGCCTATTTACTTCAAAAAATTGTTTTCTTACCACGAAGAAACTTGCGATACGGGACGTATGAGTGACATTGAAGCCAATTTTATTTCGCGAATTAGATTGCCCCGCGAATTAGATTTTCACTAAAATTTAATTAGTGAGATTGCTTATGGATAGAAGAAATAAGTAATATACAAGAAGGGACCACAGTCATTTTCAGTGTTGCCATTTTAGCCGTTTTCCGGCTAGATTTAGCCGGTTGCGAAAGCAAATAGCCGGAGAAAATTCGGTTTAGCCGGCAACTAATTTTTTAGCCGTTTCGCAAAAAAAAAATTAGCCCTTTTTAGCCGATTTTGCTATTTGCAATATTTTATTAAAATTTACATATATATATAAGCTTCCATTTTTACAAAATCTATTAGAAATGTTAGGTAGCCTTATCTCGGAGAAATTTTTTGTGTCGAACTGTGTTACAATTATTAGTTAATTTAATGTTTATTCTTTTTTATGAAAATATAGCTGGTTACTTAAAAAAAAAACATTTAAATCCAAACTTATTACTTTGTGAAAATATTCAGCTTTGTCCTGAGTTTCGCACGAAAAAAAAATTCGCCCGAAAATTTTTATTCCGCCCATAGTAAGTACATGGAAACCAAAAGTGAAAAGTGAACCGGTTTGGGGAAAATCAAAATCATGATAAGGCTGATTATGAAAATTCTGCAAATTTTCACAAAATTTTTAACCTTTTAATCAACATCTATAGAAATTTAAAATTTTAGTACAATAAAGCAAAAATTTTAAGTAGGTACCTAGCATTTATCGCTGATTTTTGAAAATTTTTTTGTTGACAATGTTTCGCATATTTTACATATAAAAAACTTGTCGAACATACTTTATATGGCAAAAAATTCGTAACGCCGTCATTAAAAAATTGCCAAAAATCAGCATTAAGGCCTCGCTAGTTCAAATTTGAACCTCGTTAAACTAGAATTTAATAGACTACAAAACTGCATACCATAATTTTTTCTAAAGATTTAGTTAGCAAGGTTAAAAATTTTGGTGAAATTTTGCAGAAATTTCATAATTTTTGCACAATGTCCGAAACTCGGTTTGTTAAGTAATCAGCTATATTTTCATAAAAATAAACTAAAATAAAGAAAAATAGCCACAACTTGCTAAAATGTCGCGGCCAAGTTTATATTTGGGTCACTGTATTGTTTTTTTTAAGAACGTAGCGGGGATTTTTTCACAGAATTTAGTATTAGAACTGTATCGTGGTGCTGATATCCTTAGTGTCGTTCATTATTTTTCTTTGACAGGCATGTGCAGAGATTAAGCAGGTCTTTAAAAACGGGGACACTTCGAATATATGGACATCAAAATAAAATTACATAGTTTAATTGTTAAAAACTTAAAAAGCGACCGCCTTGTTCAATATAAATTACTGGCCTTTTTTTTCGAAATAATGTTTCGCTATCTTCCTCAGCCTTTTCAAAGCTTTGTGTGTTCATTTCTGCAAATATTGCCCTCCGAATAAGCAAAAGTGTAATATTTTCTACTAATATAGCCAATTTGCAGGACGAAAAGTAACCTAGTGCAAACGTTATAACATAAAAAGGCAACATTTTTCAGAAAAAACGTCATAAATTCGTAAATGATCTATTTTTTGTAATTATGTAGGTAATACAAAACTGACTTCTTAACTAAAAATAATTTAATGAATTTATTAGTCTTTCAACTTTATTCAAATAAACATGTTAATTTTAGCTAAAAGATTTTAGCCGTTATTTTTTGGCCAATTTAGCCGGTCGGGCCAAACACACTGGCAACACTTTTCATTTGAACTAACAACTCAAAAGAGACATAACGAAATTTTTGTTCTCAAAAAATGTGTTTGAAGTGCAGATAAATTTTATAAATTTTAAAAGCTGCATGAGAATAATGCAATAGCTGCCACTATCCACATACATACAGACATACATATCTATGAATGGGTTGTACATACATATCTGTGTTCGTATGGAAAAGTAGCTTATGTCGAAAGGCTGGCTTTAGTATAATGCGGCATTCCCTTTATTCTTTAAACGACAAGAAATTTTTTGCAGAGACTTAATAAGAATATTGACTTGCTAGTATCGAAACTATTTATTGCACGTTTATTTGCCAAAAGTTGTTCAACGGCTCAGCGCCAGTGAGCTATTCGCAATCCTATGCTGCGAATGCCGATTTATACTAAAGCCAACCTTTCGACATAAGCTACTTTTCCATACGAACACAGATATATGAATTTAAATAAAAAAAATTATGTGAATAAAATGTTACGTATACGCTGTGTACGACATCGAAAATGTAATGAATTATATATGTGCATATGTAGATGAATATCAGACGTTTCAAACTTACAATCTGGAATGCAAGTACAGTTACTAAATACGACGCGGCTATCGCTTTCTCGCATCGAAGATGATTCGCATCCAGCATGGCAGGTGGAAATATATATACGTCCGTCAACACCACAAATGGGCGCAAAATTCTCCTTATCACAGGAACAGTTGAGGTCACATGCTTCCTCGATCATGGCAGAGCTGCAAGTTAATTCAAAACTTAGAAAACTCTCAAAATTAAAACACTAGGGCTGTTCTGGATGCAGTAGACATGTTCTTGGATTTTCAGTTGGAATTGCATTTGCAAAATTTTTTGCTTGCTATCATGGCAACCGTGTGCATTTTATGGTTGTGAATTTACAAATGCAACGAATATGCAAATCCAAGAGCATATGCATAAGATCCTGAACAGCCCTACTGTCTTATACTCACTTATTGCTCGTGCCAGTCTTATAACCGGCAAAGTCGCTCATGCTACATCCTACGAACATTAGGATTACCATGCCGGCTGAGTAGAAGAGCGCTGTAAATGCAATCCAAGCAGCTACTGAGCGCGCTGATGGCTTCAATTTTAATATGACTAAACCGGATATAACAATGCCGATACCCATAACGAGTATGCCACAGAAGGCGGCGATCATGTTGGCATCGTATGTGGTCACACGGAACTGTGTTTCGAGGTATTTCGGTAGAAAGGTGTATAATCCTGCAATTGGCAGTAGATGAAACACGCACGAAGCAGTACGGAACATCAGAATATCGTTGCTCAATTGGCGTCGTACTGTTTTTGGGAAATCTTTTCATAAAGAATGTGATGGAGTAGTTAAAGCTTTTAATAGTTCTTATTGCTTAAGAATATAACAAACCTCTTAATTTGGGCTTTTCATCCACTTCTGCTGTCGCGGCTGTTTCTTCAACGACATTCTCTTTGGCTTCGACCGCACTGGGTTTCCGTTTACCACGCAGCTGTTTTGGAAATGAGAACATCGCGATGGATGATAGCATCATTAAACTACCAATGCCAACTGGCCCTAGCCACCAAGCACCAATCCAGCGTGGATCGCTTGCGTCGAACTCAGGATTTGAGAAGTTGACGTACCAACGTGTGCAAAATGAGCCCACTATAAAACCGGATGCAGGACCCAAAATACGTACACCAATTGTAATGGCCATATACATGGGTGACTGCTTGCTTGCCACATTATCATCTATATATGGTATGCCGAGCGTTGCCACGGCCGTCTGTCCAATACCAGAGCTCAAGAGACTAGCAAAGAATATGCATAGCACAATTACTGTGATTTTAGAGTGTGAAGCCTGTTCCAATTTTTGGTCTTCATCACATTCTGTGTGCAAAGAAAATATGTATGTGAATTGAGTCTATCAAAATAGGCAATAAGTGTAAGGGTGATCAAAACAGCAGATCGAAAAAGATATCGGAAAAGGTAAGTAGTTACATCCAAATTTTTTCGAGAAAGCCTTAAATAAAAAAATTAAATAAAAATATTTGGCGCTCTTTCAGTTTTTGATGAGGGACCTACAGTCTTAGGACGTCTGTGAGGGCAAATTCTTTTTACGAGAAGCTTTTTCATGGTAGTAATACACTTTGAGGTTTGCCCCTGCCTTCCGATATAAGAAAAAAAAAATATTGATCGGACCAGGACTTGAATAAATAAGTCCTCAATTGAAATCTTACTTCACTAACTGGAGTGGTTAGTGAATGCGCTTTTGGGAAAGTTCCTTGCTAGACGCATACTTCAGAGAATCGTCGAAAGGGTTCATAAAATTACTAAAGCTACTTTCTTCTCAAGTTAAGAATTTAAGAAATTATTTGGTTTTAAAACTTTTGCTGAAAGTTTGGCCGAGCTTGTCCTCCGACCTGTAATTTTACGTCCACTCCGAACGGCAGACGGTTTTAATGTAAATTTTCCCACAGAAATACACCCGGAAGGGTTAACAATGCCTGATAGAGACAGCCGCTGTTAGAAGAAAGGCTGTTCTAGAGTTTTTGAAAACTGCGCGGACCAGGGCTAGAACTGCGTGTTGTTACGCACTTTTAATCACTTGCTACAGTGACAGTTTGATAGGCACATAAAAGTCAGAAGAAAGAAAGTCTAGCATCTAGTATTACATATACAGAAGCGCGATCATGGTCGAACTCGCTGCATTATCCCCGGAAATCGGTTACTGTTCACCTACCCATTGTTCCGATAACCAATTCAGGGTCGCATTACAATAGCCCATTATCTATTTATACGATATACGAATGTTTTAATGCTAATAGCTACCAATATTTTTATGGATAAACTAATGGAAATTTGCAAGGACATGTCAACCAACTACTGCAGACCTCTAAAGGAATTGTTAAATGCCGTTTTTAACCTAACAAGACGGCTGAGACATTTAAAACGCATAGTATTTTGCAAGGCATCCCTAGTTATTCAGGCCGATTCTGAACAGAAACTCCGTCTCTCTTTCTCTCCCTTTTTTCCCTTTTATCCTATCATGAAAAAGTTCTCTGGGGAGTTTTTATATTAAATGGCGAAGTTGAGCTCTCAAAAAAGTGTCAAACAGCTTTTTCGAAGCTCGAATTTCCTCCTCCCAAGTTTTCGGGGAAAATTCTACTCCCTGGGAGTTCAGAAAACAAACTCCCCGAGACTAATAAGAATTGAGATGATTATTTTCATAGTTAAAATTACCTTTTCTATAATTACACAATTAAATATGCCATTACATAAGAAACACTTACCAGCGCTGGAGCGTGTCGCATTCTGTCCATGTCTGCAGAGATTCACATCATGTGAACTTTTTATCAATGCGCTAATGCCTCCCTCAAAAATATTTGCGCTTGTTGCATTCACTGTGTCATTGATTCCACGCAGTCCATAACTGGCTTGTAATACTTGTCCATTTAAGGTTCGCAGCGCCGTATTACCACCGTTACCACCATTACTTAAATGGTCGAGAGATTGCATTAATTGCTTGCCAAATATGAAATGCGGCAGTGAGCAAGAAAATGCTGCAATGGAGAATAGCACCATGCCACAAGCGATCCAACGTGGACGATGGCCACGTCCAGCGAAGTATGTCAACAGCATAGCGGTGCTAATTTGGCCCATCTCACTGGCGCTTAGCAAAAGGCCGGTAGTTTTCGATTTGATTTGAAATAGTTTCTCAATAGTGGTGATAACCGACACGAAATATGTCATATACATTCCCTGCAGAATGTAGGCGAGCAGAAACACGATCATAAAAACATTGGTCGAAGCGAAGTTACGTGCCCATTTTGGCCGACAGCCGAAGAGACCACAACCTGGCCCTTGTCCGTCGACATTACTAAGTTCGGAATCAGAGTCCGATTCATCTGGCTCATGCGGACGAATATGCTTTTGAGTATAAAGGCCAGTGAGAGGATCTTGTTCGTCGTATTTATCAGGCACGCCCAATCCAATGCCGTTCTTGCCATTCATTAGGGAACCATTGTTGTTGCCTTGATGGTTAACCGGATAGTGTAGTAGACCATTCTTGAGATTATTAGATTGCTCGGCATCCTTCCATTCGTTGTTGTTGCTTGTAGATGTAGCATATAGCACAGTTGTGTTATTAGCTGGGTTTGCATTGCCCTCCGGTGCATCCACATTGTCGACTTCACTAATTATAACAGTTTCTGTACCAACTAAGCTGCTATCACCACCGGCACCTCCATTGCCGTTAATCAGAGCAGTGCTATCGGTGCTATTGGGACTAGCCAATAGAGGCGTCCAGGCTTGAGTAGAGTCACGACGTGCTCCATTTTGATAACCATTTGTGCCATGGCCGTTTTGCAAAGGTGTTCCATTCAAACTGGCCTCTCCGTTTGGGCCATGACGCTTGTAGCCATTTTCAGAACGTCCATTTGTCAAAGGCGAGGTTGGCGTAACCACTGGAGTGTTCGCAGTTGCGCTTGCTGTTAGTTGGCGCTGTGATGATTGGAATTTGTTCGATTTTGGAGTTGCCGCGGTGTCGACGTCATTGGCAAGGGACGAGGGATTCATATTAAATGCCGGCTGCCTTGACCACCGATGTAAAGCAAGTCGAAGTAAAGGGGGTGGGATGTTTATTACTGGTACAATAAAGTTCGGACTAGCTATGAAGGCGGTATGCCACTGGGTTGTTCTACGAGATTTCTAAAAGGTTTCCATTAAATTTTTTCATATTCGATAACAATTTTAATGTGTATTGTTATTGCTTTCGGTGCTTTCTCGCGGTGGTTATTTAACTATTGTTGATTGTTGGTGTCTTTAACGAGACACTGGCAGCTTTTCTTATTCTATAGAATAAGTTGTTTGTAATATTTTGTAGTTATTGTGAGGTAGTTGAATAGTTTAAAGTTGGAAAATTCGCAGCTTTTGGTTTCCATATGGCAGTGTCTGTAAATAAAAAAACGGCAGATTTATAAATGTACGAAGTGACACTAGCATTTAAATGAAATAAGTGTGTAGATGTAATCAAAAATACGAAGAGATAATATGCTTTATGTAATGTTCATTACGAGGGGAGCTTTAATTTTCCAAACTAAATTTTTGGTGAGGAGTACGCTGAGAAATATTTAATTATCAAGAATTATTCCATATATTCTCGAAACCCACAAAGCTTTGGATATCCAAATGAGGCGCTAGACTATACTGAGAAAGGAGTCATCTAAATATGTTTCTCTGTAAATAAGCTTTAACTATAAATAAATAATCTAACTATTACCAAATCACATGTTGAGAGAAACATATTTAGTTGACATATGTAACTAAACTCGACGTTTTTACAATTTTAAAATCAAAAATTTTCCACACAAATTCTACTGGTATAGGAAAAATTATTTTCTACTTTTTAGTCCGTTTATGATACGTGGTATATTTAAAATGTTTTTTTATTCGTTTTGTTTTTTTTTTTGCTTATGCTTAACCCTTTTTACGAAATGCCTATATATTAACGTACTCTCACTTATTAAGCCTTAACTAACTACGTAGTACAAGTAATGCAAACGCATAAAAAACGTATTCACGCCCAATTACACTTCAGCCACGATTGTAGAAATGGTAAAATCATATGGAAAAAAACAGTGAGGCAGTTGTTATGGAGGTTATTGAATAGATAACAAATACAAATTTAAACTGAAAGTGAATCTGTGCTATTATTTACAAACAATAACATGTGTAAATATGAACGCACTAAAACCAATGTAATTAATGCCACGTTCAGTTTCAACTAAAATTTATTTTTCGCAGACTACATACCACTGTGTTGCCTATTTCTTATCACTGCGATTTCACTTTCTACACAATGCTGACCTTGAATTTCAACTAAATTCATGTGCTATTTCAGTACATTTGTATGCAGATATACATATACATACAAACATACATAACTGTGCATATACGTATCTAAATGAAAATACATACATATATGTACATATGTATATTTAGATAGCTATGTGAAGTGGTACGTACGAATGTAGGTAATTGGGTGCCCTGAATTGTTATCAGCCGATTTTGGTTGTTGATAATATTATTCACAGTATTTCTTGGATTGACTTTGACTCTAAATAATTTTTGCAATATTGTTGCACCAACCGCACGTCCAATGGCATCGAAGTCAAAACATTAACTAAATTTGTGAAATATAACAAAAAAATGCACAAACGCAATCGCAACCACAGCTGGCAGAAGAAGAAGTAAGACATCAACATTTTCCTGCGTACATAGTACATACATACATATGTATGTATGTATGCATTTGTATATACTAAATTTTTATCAGTGCAGTATAGTAATTTTGGGGCACAACCACAGCTACAGACTAAATCAATATTGACACAGCTTGCAAAAAACGACAAATAAGATTCGCCAGTCGGCAATAAAAAGATGAATATTAAACATATGTTAAGTATCTACATATGTATGTATTTATATAAATACATATAGGTAATTATGGCGAGCAAAAAAGTCGTAGGTACACACAGTTCCATATGCACATACACATATAACTATATATGTATGTATATGTATATATCTAGGTACATACACTCCCCTACATGTCAGTAAGCGTGAGTTTCAGAAGTGAATTCAATGTCAGGGCAAAAGGCTACCGCAACTGATTGACTCGCAGTCGCATTCATTATCCATTTTGGTAATTTTTGGTGGCGTAGATAATTTATAGTAGATGAAAGGGTTAGACTATTAGAAAAAACAGCGTTTTAGGGGATTGGGAACATGGGACATTTACTATTGGTTTTCATCTTTGTCGTTTAAAAAACTAGTTTTTACTTATAAAAGAAAGAAAACTGAGTAGGTGATTGTTATTGTTAGCAAAATTTTTCCAAACTGCACATACTGATTAAATGCCCTTATAGAAAAATCTATGCCTATGTAGGTACTTTACGTCATTGCCGGTCCCCGTAGGTGTGCTCCTCTCCTAATGTTTTTTGTCAAGAGTATCTTAAGTAATGCCTATATAAGCATTCTTTTAGGATATAAATTGGACATTAACAAACTGACTTATTAAAATGGTAGAGGAGAATATAGTTACATAACTAATAAAAAATTCAAAATTAAGTTTTTGATTGATACGATGGATTTCATCGAATTACAACTCCCACATCATTTTATGAAAGAAAATATTAGTCAGGACGTTTTCCATTTCAATTACGACGTTGTTACGTCCTTTTGCATTTCAGGTGACCATATATAGATTACAAATATGCATGTCAGTTTGTATATACATTCATATGTATGTGTGTATACATACGTATAACTACATCATTACCCCGTAGCGAATGTCATAAATTAGTCACTTAAGTGTCTTGTACGGCCATATCAAGCCTTCAATGACTTTGGGCTCCGTTTTTATGGAAGTCGTTCATGACTTTTTCATACAAATGGTAATTTAGTCGTTGATGACATCTGCATGACTTTGTCATGCAGTGATCATTGATGATATTCAAGCGACAATGTCCTGCAATGAACTTTTTATAAGTGACCGCTGCAAGACATTGTCTGTTATAAGTCTTTGATAGTAGAACACCTGCATGACATTCTCACCAGTGTCATTATCAGCTATATGTCGCTTAGGATTCACAGCAAGAGCGACGATGTCACCTAATCTCCATTAGTGACGATGTCACCATTGACCATTTTCGCTACTGGGTAATATTTACTTAAAAAATCCTTTGGATGTGTGCGTTGCACTGATATTCAGCTTTCTTATCAAATAAGATTTGCCGTTGCAATTTTTAATACTGGAAATGAGACGTTGTTTTAAAGCTTAATGTACCTACATATATGTACATACACACATATTCCTCTCGTCAAATCCATATTCCATGCGTACATAACTACATACATATGTACATAGGTATATTATTCGTGTACCGCGTACCGCATTAAAAATACCTTTAAAAATAGCAAATTACTAATAAAATTTGTATACATAAGCCTTGCATTTTTGTACAAATGGATTTAAATGAAAAAATGTCTGCATATCTTGAGATTTTTTACGTTAGCGTGTGTGGCTGAGCCAAAAACTACATATGTACATAAAATCGTAATTTACTTTAATTGATTCTTTTATTACTTCCATAGAAAATGAATAATTGATTTCAAGATTAAATAAGTTATTGAATGTGTATATTCTCATTGAAGTTCTACGCAAATACCAATCGGATGTTTTATTCATATAGTAGTTCTATAAACAAGCCTAGAACATGATTTCAAAAATTCATAACGGCGATATGGCGGCCAAAAATTAAAATCGATTCGAACCGCTTGAAACGTATTCCTCTGGGGGCCGCTTATTACGAATCTGAGTTCAGGTTGGAAAAATTAAAAGTGGCGGACGCAATATGGTAGCAAAAAAAATTTAAATTGATTAGATTCGCTTAAAACTTTACAATCAAGGGTTTTAAGGTCTCTGATTACGTAATTAGAGACCTTAAGAACCCTTGCTTGTAAAGTTCAATCGAATCTAAAGGGTTTAATTTTTGACCGCTATATTGCACCGGCCATTTTGAATTTTTCCATCCTGACAACAGATTCGTAATAAGCGGTCCCATGAAATTTAGAGGAAAAGTGGGCGTGGCACCGCCTATATAAACTGAAATTCTCATGTCGCTATTCTCTGGAACCACTTACGCTGACGTCCTGAAATTTGACACAGCTACTTATGATAACAATCACGTACCTATGGCGAAAGGTGGTACATAATGGGAAAGGGGGCATGTCATCGCCCACACAAACTGAAATTTTCAAATCGTTTTTCTCTGGAACCGTCTATGCTAACGTCTTTAAATTTGACACAGCAACATATGTTGTCAATACCGTACTTACGGCGAAAAGTAGTAGATTTTGGAAGAGGGGGCTATTTATGATATCAATCACGTACTTATGACGAAAAGTGGTAGATAGTTGGAAAGGGGGCGTGGCACCGCCCACACAAACTCATATTCTCATATCGCTTATCTCGGGAACCGCCTGTGCTAACGTCTTTAAATTTGACACAGCAACATATGTTGTCAATACCGTACTTACGGCGAAAAGTAGTAGATTTTGGAAGAGGGGGCTATTTATGATATCAATCACGTACTTATGACGAAAAGTGGTAGATAGTTGGAAAGGGGGCGTGGCACCGCCCACACAAACTCATATTCTCATATCGCTTATCTCGGGAACCGCCTGTGCTAACGTCTTTAAATTTGACACAGCAACATAGAGTAGTAGTAGATTTTGGAAGAGGGGGCGTGACACCGCCCATACAAACTGAAATTTTTATATCGCTTTTCTCTGGAACCACTTATGCTAACGTCCTGAAATTCGACACAGCTATTTATGATATCAATAACGTATTTATGGCGAAAAGTGGTAGATAATAGGAAAGGGGCGTGGCACCGCTCATACAAACTGAAATTCTCATATCGGTTATCTCTGGAACCGCTAATGCTGACGTCCTGAAATTTGACACAGCTACTTATGATATCAATCACGTACTTATGACGAAATTATCTCTGGAACCGCCTATGCTAACGTGCTTAAATTTGACATACCAACATATGTTATCAATATCGTACTTACGACGAAATATGGTAGATGTTGGAAAAGTACGGCGAAATATAATAGGTTTTGGAAAATGGGGCGTGGCACAGCCCATACAAACTAAAATTCTCATATCGCTAAACTCTGGAACCGCTTGTGTTGACGTCCTGAAATTTGACACAGCTATTTATGATATCGGCCGCTGTGGCGTAGTGGTAAGCAGTGCGCGCATCCACTCAGCAATGCCTGGGTTCAAGCCCTGGTCAAAGCAACATCGCAAAAACAAGGTTTTTTCTTAACAGCGGTCGTCCCTTGGCAGGCAATGGCAAACCTCCAAGTGAATTTCAGCCATGAAAGACAGCTTCTCATAAAAATACAATCGCCGTTCGGAGTAGGCGTAAAACTGTAGGTCCCCCTTTAGGCTTTGTGTGACAACATCAAGGCGCACGGTGGAGAAGCACCTGAGACACTACCTTACCGGTGCAAAAAGAATTATCGAATCGGTTGACGTGGTCCAAAGTTATGCAGTAACATACCTAAAAATAAAAAATAAAAAAAATAATAAAAAATATTGATGATGACTACTCATGACAAAAAATTTGTGTTCATTCAGAGTCTACTATAGTTTTTATAACAGAAAAAAGTGTCTCCAAACGGAACGTCCGCAACGCAGGACCCATATGTGTAATCTATAAATCAGGGTTACAGATTTCAGAGAATAAATTTTGTATTCTTAATTACGTATTGTAGCAATATTTCAAAATTTATAAAGGGCAGCAGTCTACTGGATATAAGATCCAAATCCGGCTCTTATTTTTTACATGGAGTCCATAATCTGGTTATCCGATAAAATCTCTATCCGGCACATTTCTACTGAAGACATTAAGAAGTGTGAAATGAAAGCCCAATTGAAGGCCTGTCTTAACGAAAAACAAGCTCAGCTCGGTGAAAATTCTCTCGATTGGTGGAAAACTAAACTAAAATACGACAAACTGACAGATCTGGCCGTAAATATTTGAGCGCTCCACCTGCCAGCGTTCCAAGTGAGCAATGTTCAGAGCAGCCGGCCTCTAAGAAATCACCTCATGGGAGAAAAGGCAGCAAAGTTACTTTTTTTTTTAAATATAATATGCCCCTTTTGAACTTTGACTACTAGATTAAGACACTGTATAGGTTAAGCACTCGTTAAATGTTCTAATAATTTACAAAATTTTTAAGTAATAAAAACGAAGACTTAAGTTTTTTATAGCTATTTTTTAATTATAATTCCTAACATTCGCATTCCGAAAATTCGCATTCGCATTCGCGAATATGGAAAATATGACATTCGAAATATCCCTAACAACGATGTATTAGCTCAAATCATCGGTGTTCATGGCGGAAAATTAAAATGTCATCTCAAAGAAAAAAAAAAAAAATGTTGTAGAATTTTGAGGTTTGCATATTTATTTCTGGTTTTAAAACCAGCTTTTGTCTTCTACAAAATGTATAGGTAGGACTGTGGTTTGAACTAGGGCTGCGATATCGACATCGATATTTTGAATACATCGATTTTTCATTGTA